AAAAAAATAAATATAATTAAAATTCTTAAAAGAAAGACCTCCTAAAAATTCTATTCAACCTAAATCCAAATAAAACTTATATTTATTAATAAATTTTAAAACTAAAAAATTCAAATAAAAACAAAAAATAATAGGTATAAACCACATTAAAGAAAAATAAAATTTAAATTTTAAAAATAAAAAATTTAAATAATAAAAATTTTTAAAATTAAATATTAATATACCAAATATTAAACCTAAAAAACAAACAATTAATGTTAATAATTTAAAATTTAATCTTAACAAAACTAAATTAAAAAAAGGAAAAATAAATCATATTAATATCGAACCACCAAAAATAGATAAAAATATTAAAAATCTTATAGGAAATAATATAAAACTACTTTCACCTATTGAAACAATCATAAAACCTAAAAAATCAATCAAACAATAATTAATTAAACGAAAAGAATATATAACTGTTAAACCAGTTGAAAAAAAAAAAAAAAAAATCATAATTTTTACATTAGATATTAATACAAATTCTAAAATTATATCCTTTGAATAAAATCCCGCTAAAAAAGGTATCCCGCATAAAGCTAACCTAGAGATATTAAAATAAATTAATACAATAATTAATTGATTAGAGAATCCTCCTGAAAATCGAATATCTTGAAAATTTATTATTCTATGAATAAAAACCCCTGCACATAAAAATAATAAAGCTTTAAATAAAGCATGAGTTAGTAAATGAAAAAAAGCCAATTTTACATAACCTAAAGATAAAATTCTTATTATTAACCCTAATTGACTTAATGTAGATAACGCAATAATTTTTTTAAAATCTATTTCATAATTTGCCCCTAAACCAGATATTAATATAGTTAAACTTCCTAATAATAAAAAAAAAAATAAGTAAATTTTATTATAAATTAAATAATGATTAAATCGAATTAATAAATAAACTCCCGCAGTAACAAGAGTTGATGAATGTACTAAAGCAGAAACAGGAGTTGGAGCAGCTATAGCTGCTGGTAATCAAGAAGAAAATGGAATTTGAGCCCTTTTAGTTATAGAAGCCATAATAATTATTAATAAAAAAATTCAATTTAAATTTATAAATTCTAAATAAAAATAAAACCTTCAACTTCCTAAATTAAATATTAAAGAAATAGAAATTAATAAAGCAACATCTCCAATCCGATTAGATAAAGCAGTTAATATACCGGCATTATAAGATTTATAATTTTGAAAATAAATTACTAAACAATAAGAAACCAACCCTAAACCATCTCAACCTAAAAGAATAGAAATTAATCTAGGGGAAATAATTAAAAACATTATAGATAAAATAAATAAAAATACTAAATAAATAAAACGAATTTTATTTTTATCTAAATTTATATATTCTCA